TACAGAACGTGATCTCAAGGTTGGTTTTTTTTTATCCTTAATAAAATTCTTTGAAAAATTGGAAAACGCTTGGAACATTTTGGTTGACTGTATTTGTAGAATGGGTTTTCTTTCGATGCATTTGACAACTTTTCCAATTGCTTTGACCGTCGCTGTATCGCCAGATGGTCAGCATGTTGGCCATTTTGTGCTTCGTTCATCTCCTGGCCGATTTCTAAGCTTTATTGCCAGGCTTCATTCGTTTTGCAAATAATCCCTTGCGCATGTCAAGTGCCAGCATTTCATCTCCAGCTCTACTATTCCCTGTGTACGAAGGGTACCCTTAACAAAAGAAGAACCTATGAAATACGATGGATTTTCAAAATTGGAATTTTCAAAAATTCAGTGACTTCGGAACTGAGATGCAAATTGTTGTAGATAAAAAAGGACAGCATTTCACACTCATTGCTCCTTCTTACAGTTTCCTCTTTTTCATCGGGAAACTTATGATAAATTAGTTTTTCGAATTTTCCGGCGTTCTAGTAAATTTGTTTTTTTGTTGCAGGAGTTATTTTCGCGCTACGGAGATTTGGACAACGTGCAGTTGGTTTTTGACCATCCAACTGGTCGTTCACGTGGCTTTGGTTTTGTTTATTATAAAAAAGTGGAAGATGCGGTGGAAGCAAAAGACCGATTGACTGGCACCGAAATCGACGGGCACAAAATCAGAATTGACTATTCAATAACGAAACGCCCGCATACACCAACTCCTGGCATCTACATGGGCGCTGTTGACTCGCGTCGTCGCGGTCCACCACCGCGGTATCGCCGAAGTCCCTCTCCATATCGCTACAGAAGATACCGTGAAAGCCCTCCGGGTAGATATTATGGCAGGTATGTTGCTGGACTTTTTTCCAAGCTCTTTTTTTAAAAAAAGAAAATCTGAGCCTGCCTACATACTTCCTGGCTCGTACATCTGTTCAGAAGTCAAAAGTCCTGTTTGCCTTTGTTAGGAAAGGCTCAGAGCTACACTTTTTACACGATATTTGATACGATTCATTCTTCAGAAAATCACAGTAATACAAGTCCAAGAATGCCAGGAATACTAGGGCCTCACAGACAGGTGGTGTGAGGATTACGTATTGCTGTTGCTACTGGGATAATCCCATACATGGGAATGCCAAGCCGTTCAGTCCTAGGCTGCATACCTCCAGTTAATACTCTCCGCCTGTCCAGTATGTGCCACCACTTTACAGATCACCCGAATGGTCATTTACATTCTCACAGTTGAAAATACTTAAATACTTTTGTTAAAATACTTTCGCCTTTTCTACTGTATTCCCCCGAATTACCTGAATTGTCTAAACTGGCAGTGTGAAATTTTAGTATTAAGAATATGTCTGAGTGGAAGAAGTATTGCTTTTGCCCCGCTAAAATAGTACATTAGTAAAATAGGGTCCTTTTTGATTAAAGGAAAGGGGAAAACAGCCTCTGCTTATATGCTTCAGCTGATCAACTCCCGCCTATTGGTTTATCTGCTCTTTCGGCTAACTTCACTTTTCTTCTGACCATTCTATGTCGCCGTGATGTTTCACTGTTTTTTAATTGCACTGAAAAGGCGAGGTAATAGCAGAATGCAGCAGCAACCTCCCTTGGCAAGACCAGTGGCTAGTGTTCTCTCTTCCGAGTGTTTCCCTGTGGGGCAGTTTAAATGCAAAAGCTGAAAAACAGTGCAGCAAATAGCTTAGAATTGTTTTTCAGACCGTATGAATATGACGATTATGATCGTTATTCGCCGCCGCCGTATCGCGATCGCTATAGACGCACACCGTCACCACGCTACTACGATGATCGTCGCCGAAGACGTTCACGCTCGTACGACAGGGACTATTATTGATAATTCTACATCCATCTATCTCTCCCTGTCTTTTCAAAAAAAAAACCCCCCACTGTCCTTCCAGTAAGCGGAAGAGTTACATGAGCGTTTTGCTTTGCATGCGTATTTTTTTTTCTGTTATTTTTCTTTAAATGTCGCCACTGCTCTAGAAAATTTCCTGCACTTAGCCCCATTTGCGCGAGAGTTTGGTGCCTTGCCTTGCCTTCCCATAAAGCAAGCATTATTTTTATTTGCAAAAAAAGGAAAAAAATAATCGCTTGGCGCAAGTGGGG